TGAAGCAAGCAGACCCAGTTTTTCTGAAGCAGACTGTACCAGTGAAGCTGAAGCAAGCAGACCCAGTTTTTCTGAAGCAGACTGTACCAGTGAAGCTGAAGCAAGCAGACCCAGTTTTTCTGAAAGACCAGACTGATGGCAACGCCAATTGGGCCTTTGCCATTGGCAGCTTTGCGCCTCACCCCTGGTAGCCACCAGGGGATCGGCAGCATCGTGTGCTACCTGCGCTCCGACACGGGCCAGGAGCGGGACCAAGTCCGACGACCGCAGCGGGCGGACCGAGGCTCCCAGGTTTTTCCCCACTCAAAAGGTGGGGTTGAAAGTTCATCAGCTTTTTTGGTGTCTGTGTTGGGGTGTGAACCTTGAGAGACGTTTTTTTTTCTTCTTTTTGGTTGGGTGCTCCTAACAAGCGTGCCCTATTTGGAGGCATGCCTATGGTCAAACCTGCGACTGAAGGCGGTGACATGCGCAGAAGGTTTGACATCCGGATTTCCTATGGCCAATTTCATCCGCTTCCTCTCTGGCATTTGGGGGGGGTAGAGCCAGGTGGGGGTCCTTATGGGCGCTGCTCCATGCCCTAAGACCCTTTTTTTAAAGACCAGTTCTTCTTTTCGGTTGGTTTGGTCATCAATTTCTTTGGGATTGAAACTCTGCACGGGTTCCTATGAAGGAAGCTCTCTGACCATGGCGCGATCCTTTGCTCGAGCAGTCCGAGTGGAACCTGATTGGGCGGTTCCGTCAACTTGTTCTCAATCTTGATATATGAGCGTTCCTTTTTTGCAGGAAACCAAAGGGAGCACCACCATTGTGGGTCCCCAAAAACAAGACACCCCTATGATTCGGCAAGAAGCGCCCTGCCACGGCTTCCTGTCGGCAAGCCGCGCGCGCGCCGCGGAAGGTGACCTGGAAGCACCCCTTCTACGACTACTTCCGTCAGCTGCGGGACTTCTGTCGCCAAGCCTCGCAGGAGGAGGTCATGCAGGCGCAGAAGATGGATCGCTCGGCTCGGGGATCCGAAGCGGGTTGGTCCCGTGTGAGGCGCTGGGGGGTTTCTGGTTTTGGACGCAGGATCCAACAAGAAGGCGCCGGAAGCCGGACGAATAGATCGACCAACATGAAGCGAAGGTCCAAGAGGAGGCAATTGCGTTTCCTCAGGTTGAGTGTCAAGTAGCGTGCTCTTGACGCACCCCGGTTGTCGGGAAACCATTGAAGCTTTTTGGCCATCCGATGGGGACAGTTTGAAGCTAATGGGGCTCCTTGCAAGTGCCATGGTCCTCAGCCCTCTTTCTTGTGGACTGTGAACAAACGAGCCAGCCAAATCGAGATCTGTGTTCCATTTCAATAGATGGTCAAAACCAAGTGGCACCCCGTGTCTTGACGTTTCACCCCCTTTTCTACTTTCTGGTTGAAGCAACGAGAAGGTCCGCGAGTGACAGTCCTTGCGCCGGAGGTTCGCTGCAACCGGCTGCTGTGGAGCTATGAGGCAACGCGGGTGGAGGCTGAGCACGACCACGTGGCCTGGCTTGTTGCGGCTGTGAGCGATGGCTGTGCGAGACGACCTGGGGAGGTCGTCCTGGTTTCAGTGGGGGGAATCATCACTTTTGGAGGGGAACGCCCCCCACATGAATACACAGGGGTTTATTAATATGGGGTCAACATTGTGGGATGTTTGATTCATATGGGGTCAACCTCATCCCTTTCTGCGGCTCGAGGAGCCGCTGATCTCCCCCAGCTACGTGGCGCGCATGGCGGACATCTTCGGCTTCGACGTGAAGAGCCAGGGCTGTGTGGTGCGGAACTGCAAGGCCCTGCGCACCAGCAGTCTTCTTTCACTTTCCGCATTACTTTTTCTTTGGGTATGGGCAGGTTCCTGGAGAGGCCAGTCGCAAAACCGCGGCTGGGTGTCCGTTTAGCCTTTAGTTCACGGCCCCCAAAGGAGCATTCTATTTGGGTGTGTCCCTTGCTGGGTTTTCCTTTGGAGTTTCCTGCAACACCACTAAAAAAGCGTGGTACCGACTCAAAACAACACACACCCATCAAACTTCCCCAGAATTAGTTCCTGTTTTTTTGGGTGCCCTTTGTTTTCCACTAACCAGGCAAATAATATATTGTTTTTTGCCGGGGTCCTCCTTCCAACCGTGGTTGCACCGGAACGGGTGGCAGGCTCAGCTCAAGGTCTTCGCCAAGGCCTACCGCAGCAAGCAGGACATTGCCACGCGGATGGACAGTTTATGGGATGCCAACCCAAAAAGAGAAAACTCCACCCCGGAAAGGGTGGGATTTCCGACTTTTGCATCATGGTGCACTGGGAAGAAATAAGGAAATCACATTGCTTGACGCAAAAAACAGAAAATCCGCCCCGGAAAGGGTGGGTCGTGTTTCCGACTTTGGTACCCTCCCCCAGACTAACATGGAAGCTCCCGAACGGACCCCGAAATGCAAAACTTAGTTCCATTTACAGAGGCCTTCTGGGAGATTCCATGTTAGTCCGAGGGAGTGTATCATGGTGCACTGGGAAAGATAAGGAAATCACGTCGCCAGGGGCGCCTCTTCTGAAAAGTAACCCATTGACTTGTCTTGGTCGTGGTTTGTCAGAATCCTTTGAGGCACGGGATGTAAAAATCCGGACTCGCCGGAACGCACCCGGCGTCTCAGCTTCCTCTTTGCCTCACATCGGGTGAATCTCTGGGGTGCCCAGTGCTATACGCTGTGATGTCCTGTAAGGGTGGATGCCACAATTTGATTTGCTGGTGGAGCACACTCTTTTTGCGGCTATTGCCAGGTGTCGGTCAAGACGAATTGGAGTTGAGGAACGCCTCAGGGCCACTGAAACCTCCAGGTCTTTGCTGTGGGGGGGCATTTGAGCCACAATAAAATCCCGGCAGATGAGGGTTCAGGGAGCATCCCAACCCGAAGTGGGCGCGGATCTCCGCCCTTCTCGACCTTTTGCCTGGTTCTGGGCTTCACTTCTGGCCGCAGATTTTATCTCAGGATGTGGGGCTCATCTACGAGTGCGACGAGATGTTGCAGCGCGACGTGGCCAAGTACAGCGAGATGGTGGCGCACTGGTCTGGGGAGGCGAGGGCGGCTGGCGCCACCCCCCCAAAAAGAACACGCGGATCTGGATGCAAGCCCAAGAATGGGTGGGTGTCCCGCTCGTTTTCCCGGTTCAAACAACAAGCTTTTGGGGAGTCCAAGAAATGGAGCTTTGATGTTTGCTTGAGTCGCTTTTCAAGAAAGCGGGTGGCATTTTCTACTTGTGCGAAGGGAAGTGGTTGCAGCCTCGGCGTGTTCGTTTCATCAGTTCTTTGGACCTTAATTCATCTTTTTGGGAAGTAACATGTTTGATTCTGAACGATTATTGTGCAGAAATTGTTTCATTCCTTTCTTTGCTTCCTGCCCTTTCTACATTTGGCGGCTTCTTGGCTTTGTGGTCGTTTGCATTTTCGCCGTTTGCCCTCTGCCGGAGTTGGCCTTCACATCGTGACAAATCCACCCACTTTTATATCGTACTTCGTTTCTGCTCTGAAGCAAATCTGGATCGCCAGTTGCTGCTTGTTCCATCCACTTCACCATCCAAAAACCAGCAGTGGCTGAACTTTCCATCCGTCCAGCCCGGCTTTTTCCCGGAGATCCGGAGAGGTGACTGCAAAAAGCAGCAACTTTTGTGAAGTTTCATTCCGTCCCTCCGTCCCTCCTTTCCAAAATCCCGCGCTGCCTGAAAAAAGCCGCCGCATTCCATGCGTCCGATCCCTCCTGTCCAACTTGGTCCAGTGGAGAGCTGTCTTTTTTTGGGACAGGAGGTCCCACTCTGGACTTTTTTTTTTCCGGTGGAGATCCGGAGAGGTGAAGGAGGAGGTGAGGTTCGACCTCAACAAGCTGGCGGCCGGGGAGATGCACTGCGTGAACTGCAAGACCACCGCGCTGAGCTTCTGCCTGGAGTGCAAGGACCAGCGCATTTCTGGCCGCCTGTAAGCGCAGCAGCGTTTCGAGAGCCCCCCAACAAAAGCGCCGGAAGTTGGGGAGAAGTTTTTTTTTTCTTGCCTGAAGTTTTTGTTTTGTTTTGTAGAAGCTTTTTTTTTCTTGGCGCACTAGAGATCTTAGTGAGGTTGATCAAATTTTTGGGGCCCGCATCATCCCCTGACCCAATCAGGGTCGGTTTTTTGGAAGCAGGAGGGGTTGGAGACGTCAAGGGTATCTCCCTCCCCCCCCCCCACTCCCCTCCCCATCCCTCCTTCCAACGCCTTCATAAAAACGGCTCCTTCCAACAAGCTCCCTTCCCTTCCCAGCCCCTCCTTCCTTCAGGACTACCTGTGCCTCAAGTGCTACATCTAACAAGTCAGCTCCAAAAATCCACTCCCTTCCCTTCCCAGCCCATCCTTCCTTCGGGACTACCTGTGCCTCAAGTGCTACATCCAACAAGTCAGCTCCAAAAAACCGCCCTTCCCCCTCCTTCAGGACTACCTGTGCCTCAAGTGCTACGGGGAGCTGCACAGCAAGGGCTCCCGCAAGGACCACGCGCCCTTCTGTCTGGTGCCCTGCGCGCTCTGCGTGGTGCTGCCAGCGAAGATCCACTGCACCTTCACCGACAAGTCCCTGCGCCCCCGGCCGCGGAGTCGATTTCTAAAGTCGTCCTTTGCCCTGTTTTGGGGCGGATGAAGACCCATGTACCACCTATTTTGATGTTCACCAAAGGGGTACAGGGTTTTGACTCACAGCCATTTCTGGGGTCAGGCCCCTTCTCGGTTTAGGGGGCTTCAACCAAACATAAATTTTCATGGGGGCGTTGGTTTTCATTTTGTGGCTCAAAAGGCCCTAGTCATTTGGCTGTTGTCAAAACAGTTTTGGGATCCAATTTTGGGGTAGGTGCACCACCCATTTTAGTCTATTTTAGTGGGGATTGGGATGTTGCCCCGGAGTTATTTGGCCATGCGTCATAATCTATGCCTTCATTTTGGGGCGGAACCCATGTACCACCTATTTTGATGTTCACTATGGGGGTACAGGGTTTTGACTCACAGCCATTTCTGGGGTCGGGTCCCTTCTCGGTTTAGGGGAGTTTCAACCAAACCCGTTTTCCTGGCGGCTTTGGCTTTTTTCCTGGTATTTGTGGCTCAAAATGAAGGATCTGGGGCAAATCGCCGGTGACAAGTCTGTCCATTTCTCCAAGTTCCTGTTTGAGCCACAGCCGCGCCTTGGAGTATGGGGCTGTTTAGCGGACCCTGTTTTTGGGCTTCGGTGTCCTTTTCCCCTTTAAAACCAGAAAATCAGAGTACCCTCAAAAAGGACACGCCGATGTTTTTGTGGGGGTTGTCAACATTAGGGCTCCCTTTTTGGCGAATCCGCTGAAATCAACGGCTTCATGTTTCAAAATTGCGATGAGTTTTCGGAGTGGGAAGCATCTCAAAAGTGGTTGGTTCACTTGAATCCCCATTGTTGTGACCCAATTCTTGGGCATGCAGGTGCCACAAGTGCTACGCCATGAACCACATCAAGATGCTGCCTTTGGATGGCAAAGAGAACCAGCCGCGACGCATCAACTACGTGGAGCAGTACAACCGCTATGCCGAGTTTGCGAAGGAGCATGGCATGTGCGGGATCTTTCTGCGTCGGAGCGTCGGAGATTCAGCCATTGGTGTGCTTGGCTTGAACAGGTAAAACCTCAGGCAGCAGATAGGTTTTGGATGTTTTCCCTTCACGCCCGCAAAGAAAGGGGCTGGGGGATCTGCCCTTTGGGCCAGTTGATTTGTCCTGTGGACGTTTCCATTGGACAGAACCCAAGAACTGCCTTCACGAGGGGGGAGACCCAGCAATCCACTTGAGTCACTTCCCACATGAAGTGCTTGGGTAGACCGAGTGGACAGAAAAGCGCGGCGTTGTTGGTTTGTTTCGGCAAGGAGCGAGTCAAGAAAATGGCCATCCAGCCTGATGACATCCCCACGCTGGATGACTCTGCCTACGAGTCTGTGTTGAGCACAGACTGGCATCCCTTCTATGATGCCACCCGGCGATGGCTCGCAATTCCGCCGGTTCTCGGGGTTATCAGAGTCAACGGGCTGGTCGCTTCCCCCTTCAACCTGCCACTTTTGGGGGGTTTTAGAAGCCCTGAGGCGCCGGATGGACGGTGTTTAGGCATCTTTGGCATATGGCACTTGAGAACCTCGCAAGGTTGGGCAGGAGGACGGAAATGGAGGGCGTTTTGCACGCTGAACGGGCTTGGGTAAACAGTCTCAGGCACAAACAACCCGGCAACGTGGGTGAAGACGCCGGGAAAGCAGGGCTTTCCGGTGCCTTTTTGCAGTGTGTTGGGAAAGGGCCTCACCCGCTCAGAAACGCAAGCACGCACACGCAGGCAGGTCAAGCCTTCCTCTCCCCAAACAGGGAGCACGCCTTTTGGCATTTGTCAAGACCTTCCTTCCTGGTTCCCCTCAAGATCACCCGATTCAGAGGAAGCTCCTTTCAGATTAACCCCCCTTCCCTACGTTTAAAATCAGCACCAGGGGCAAAATATTTGGGTGAAACAAACACGTGGCAGCTTCCCTTCCGTTTTCCGCGCCGAACGGCCCTCCGACCACCTCCGAAAACCTCCGAGAACCTCCGAGAACCTCCGACCACCTCCGATCACCTCCGACCACCTCTGCGGCCCTTGGCCCTTCCGAGGCGCGGGGGGTGAAGTACTACCACAACTTCGCCACCGGGGAGCGGATGCGCCAGAGCCCGCGCCGGGTGCCCAATACGGACGACCTGGGGGCCGAAGCCACGGCCCCCACGGCGCAGGCGGGGGACGGCGGGGGGGGATCCCGGGATCAAGTAGGGGTCCAACGGAAAATGGCGGGGGTTTGTTTTGGTGGCCCTTTCAAAAGCAACTCCAAAAAGGGCACCCGCAGAATGGACGCGATATTTGTAGGATGGTGTGCCATTGTATTCTTTCTTGGAAGTGGGAGACAAACGTCAGGGTAAGAGAAGGTTAGAGGACAGCTTTTTGATTCTTTGCGTGGTTTTGGGTCGACCCCTGCTTTTCCGAGTTTGGAGCTAAATGGCCCATTGCGGCATGGTCGTGTCTCGGAACCCTCCCGGTTTTCTTTGCGAGTCAGGCAGGGTGAATTTTCTCACAGTGAGGTTGCTACTTCTTTTTTTCTCCCCCTTTTTTTAATTATTATATCTGCGCATTCAACCAACAGTTGGTGAGACCGAAGGGGGGCTTTCAGCTGCCGAGCATTTTGCGACGCCCGGAGAGTCGTAAAAGACAAACACCGGACGGGAGGACGTGACCAAAATCATGGAGACCACCACCGAGCTCTTGAAAGGCGATGAGCCCGCCGAGCCTAAGATGGGCTCCAAAACGGGCTCCCCAGCCATGGATTCAGTTCTTACAAAATAGGGCGACAAAATGTTTTTTTTTTTTTTTTCTCCCCCCCTGGAAGACAGCCAAAATGGATTCGGTTCCCCCAAAGGAAGGCAAACTCACACCCTTTTGCGAGCTTTCCTTTTGGTGTCCCGTTTCGACCTGCTTCGACAAGGGTAGCAACAACAGAAGCCCAGCTGACAAAATCACGTGGGAGGTTAGTACGATGGTTATTTTCTGCAACCACCTTCTTTTAGGGCATCGGATCTTTAAAGGTTCGATGCAACGTACAGTCCACGTGTCCGGAGTTTCGCCTTTGGGTGAATTGAAAAATCGAGTTTGCTTTTGGCTGGGTGGTGCTTGGCGGGTCCTTTCGGGGGTGCAAGTTTTGTCCGGAGACCACATGCGTGGGATCTGGAGCCTTTGTGATTCAACGACGGTTTTCACGCTGTGGCCTTGCCCGGACTGAAGCAGTTATGCAATAGAGAAGCAGGGACGGCCAAACACATCAGAGCAATAGAGCTTTTGGGGAAGACGTGGGGAGACTTATCGGCGACAGCCGGGATGAGGAAACTGTGGGTTGTTTCCTTAAACATTCCTTCCTGGAGTCTCCACGACCCTTAAGACATGGGGGACATGACCAACAAAAGAAATCGGGTCATGACCCCATTTTTGATTTTTAGGGGTCATGGAGCCTCCAGGCAGGTTCACGTTGTCTCGTTTTGAACCAACCCCGCAAAAAGCGTTCGTTCATTACCAAAAGGACCAAGTGATGTTCCTTTCGCCTCAGCCCGAGGCTCCAAGGTGGGCTCGAAGACTGGAAAGGACAAGCTGAAAGGCGAGCCGCTGCCCTTGGCAGGCAGGGTGTGTGAGAGTGTGAGAAAAATATGCAATGTGTTTTTTCTTCTTTCTCTTTCTATTTATTATTATTATTGTTATTATTATTGTTATTATTATTATTATTAGTACTACTAGTATGTTTTTGTTTTGTTTTTCTTTCAAGACTGCTCCTGTTTCTATGCATTTTTGCCGTGCTTTCGACTTCTCCAGGTTTTATCGTGTTTTTTTTTGGCCGCGCCGTGTTTTTCGTTCTTGGTTTTGGCGCCAGTCAAAAACCGCAAAGCTTGATCTTGGAATCCCGTGCCCGCCGTGCCGGATCCTGTCAAGTTGGTTTTCTGTTGCTTTGTCTCATAGGCGAACCCCCCGAACATGGCGGTTTAACCGCCATGTTGATATTTGACCGTGGTCTATTCCATGAAATCATGCATGCCGCCTTAGCCCCGTGCCCACGCCCGCCTGCCTCGCACCTGCCGTTCGAAGCGCTCTTTGTGTCTCTCATCCATGCGGCTTCGTTCTTGTTTCCCCTCGCCATGTCTTACGTGCACTTCAACGTTTGGTAAAGAACAGGTGTCCATGCTAGGGTCATGCTGTGTATAGGGTTCGTGCTGTGTGTTTTGTCACGTACTGCAAGTTCGACATGGCTTTGTCACAAGATTCCCCCAAAGGCATCTAGCAAATTGGTCCCATTTGGGATATGATACCTCCACAGGTAAAGCATAGGCGTACCTGCGAAGCATGGGGTTTTCCCCATGGTCATGTTTATTGTGCAGCTGCGAGGGCACACACCCATCCAGCCCCTGCCACCACCTGTCCAGCACCTGTGTCCCGGCAGTCGTGACGCCTCCTGCCCTCTGCTTTCGAACTCTGCCGGCGAATTGTTGGCGCCCATGGCAAACAGAAAAATGTTCTTAAGCTTCAAAACTTTGCATTCTGCCGGGCAGGCCAGCGCCCCATCTGAAAAGAGCACTGCCTTGTCCCGCCCAGACCGTCTCACATGTCGCATAATCTTCACGCTGCGAATTTCCTGAGCCCGCTAGGCGCACTTGCCAGCAACACAAAACAGGAATCAGAGTTAGAAAGAGGCGGGCTTAACACAAAGAAGGGAAACTCATGGATGGACCCGGCGCTTTCTGAGATTCCACAGGCGGAGAAGCCTGTGGTGGCACCAACTTCCACGGCAGCCATTGGATGGCGACTCGACCTCCTCGAAGACCTGGCTTGCTTTGCCGCATCTTCCCTGCGACAATGCGCATGTGTGCCTGGGTTTGCCGGCGTTCTTCCGGAGCTTGAATCGCTCCTCTTGGCGCACCTCCTTGGCGCACCTCAGCTTGGCAAGCTTCTAGCATAGCATCCATGCTTTCTAGTCCCAGTCACTGGCTACAACTTGTGTGGCCAGAGGTCGCTGGGCCAGGACAAAGTTGCTGCGGCCGGCAATGGAGCAGGCATCGATTCCTGTAGCGTAGACCATGTCTGGCGCCAGGAATGCCGCAGAGCGTCCCATGCGAAATCCGGAGCCCCGGGGCACGACGCCGTAAATGTTCACAGCTGCGTCGGCACGAAGACCACAGGCCACCTAGCTGGCGAGACGACAAGCTGTGCATGTTTCAACAAGCCAAAAGACAGCCAAAACCAAATGTTCGGAAACAGAAGAAAGCAAATGCCGGTCTGCCGAAACACTGAATTTCATCTAGCTGCACAGGATCATAGGACGCCCAGTCACGCAAGAGAGGCGGAAAAAACGCACATGCGCCACCCGAAGGAGCAACACTAAGGCCAGGTGCTCCCGAAACTCCTCCATGCTGGACCAAAACTAACGAGCGCCTGCTCACCCCCCCCACCCCCCACCCCACCCCCAACGCCACAAGTAAAAGGTCCACCGGCAACCTGGAAAACGGCCTCACGTGTCACGAAACCTAAGCGAAAACAGCGAAAGTGCTCGAAACACAGCGGTCGTTTATCAGCGCGCCGCCTAAAATAAGAGAGAGAGAGAGAGAGAGAGACGCCCATATAACCCACAGACTGAACAAAGCTGAATGGGACATGAGCCACAATCAAACCGGGTAATTGGACGGTAAGGGACACTCCCAACCCTTCGCCGCCTTCTTAATTCTTGAAGCATGGTTCTGGGTAGGCCAGTTTACTTGCAGGTGCTCAGCAGGGAATGAGGGAATGACCCTATAAGCCATCCAACTGGTTGTTTCCTTAAGGGGACCAAAGCCTGGGTTCATTCCATTTCTCATGTCGCACCAGCAAGTTTAGTACCGATTGGTTTTGATGGTCATATGATTCAGGGTACAAACCTCGAGTCTCCAGAAAACGGTTTGGATGTGCTATCGGTGGATTTCACCTGTGCTTCCCCGTCTACTCTTTTTAGTATAGTCTTAGCACTTTTTTATCCTACTGGGGTGGATTCATACTGTGGATGGACGCACTCCATTTCGCACCACCGTTCAGAAGCCCTGGAATGATTTGATTCCCCTTTCAATACCAACACACGTCATGGCCCTCCTCTGGTTTCCTTTCGTGGTGCGGTGCTGGATTTCCTCCACCCAGACATGGTTGTTGTTGGGAAGCATTCTACATGTTTGCTTCTCGTGGTTGAGTGGTGGAACTCCAACCACTGAACTGCCATAAAAAAGATGCTCCCCTTCCAACGTCGACCAAGCAGAGTCAGCAAATCAGCGAGGTCGCGCTACCTCGCGAGTCCCCGCCCGCCAGGCTTCGACTCCTTGAAGAGCGATGTCCCCGCGGCGGTGAAGGCCGCGGACCACCCCGAGAACCGGCTGCTGCGTCCGCCCCACCGGACGCATATGCCCAACGCGCTGGAGGAGTAGCCGAATTCCCAAAACCGCGGCAAGGGGTTTCAGAGCCTCGGGGCGAAAGACCATGTCCGAAGAGGAAAACAAGCACATCGTCCTGGGCGAAACGAGAGCTGTTCTTGTTGAGACAAGTCTTTCAGGAAGTCGTGGTGTTTTTGGTTGGGAGCCTTTGATTTAAGAGCCCTGGCACAAGGGCTGTGGGCTTGCCAGAGGGCCTGTAACATGTACTTGGCTTTGCATGTTGCATGGGCCGTTCAACACGGCCGAATCGAATGCGCTCGGAATTGAATTCATCGGAGAAGGAGCTTATCAAGCGTGCATCCAAAGCCTCCTGCCAGGGGAAAAGCCAGGGTTCCCTGCTGTCCCCTTTGGTTTGTGGTTGTTAAACCTCTTGGGTGAAATTTAAGTGAGTGTTTTTTTTTTTTTTTTAATGGGCGTTACTTTTGTGTGTTGAAAGGGGAGGTGTAGGGACCCCGTTTCCAACCCAGCAGAGGTTGGATAAGATGCTTGAAGTCGTCGAGCCGGAAAATGCACGCAGAAGTTCCATGCAAGATGGAAGAGAAGAGGAAGCTCCGCTTAGAGGCCTATGGGGCCCCATACTTCTCCCCCGGAAGGTTCTGAGAACTTTTCCTGTGCCTTTGGCTGCTTCCCAGATCGACCAAACGCCGAAGTCGCCTCTGCAGGTCTATCCTACCGTTCACTCTTTGAGGACGAAGCAGGCTGGTTGTCGCATGTGGTCAGCATGTCGTGTGTGAGGGGTCGCTTGTGCCGGAAGACAAGTACAGGTGAAGGTCATCCCCGGATTTGGGTTTACTCCTCCTTGCCATAGGTGTCCATTTCGCAACAGGCCACAAAGGGTGAGCTGGCATCAACCTCCTCAACCTCATTCCAAGCAATTTGGATCCCGCCAAACCTTCGGAGCGACCGGCGGATGCCGCCAGGTGGGTCGCCTTGGAGGCGCCCCCGTGTACCTCGAGGCGGATGGCGTCTTCCCGGGCAAGGGCGACTTCGCCGGGCGCCATAAGGCCCGAAGCTTTGGCCCTGGGGTTGTGGACGAATTGGCCGCGTTTTTTTCTTTTTTTGGGCTGGTCGGTGGTTGTCTTTTGTTTGTCTTTTGTTTGGTTTTTTGAAGGGGAACCAAAGGAAGACCCGCAAATTTGGGGGCCAAAGCATGTGGCCGCTCGTTGGATCCGAGTTACCCCCAAACGCTGCTTCGAGCCAGGTCCTGGGTTTCGAGGTCCTTCAGGGAGTTGACCAAAGTGGGTGTGTTCTCCTTAAAACCAATGTGAGAAACCAAGGTGAATCAGGTCCCCTCCCACCAATTGACCTGGAACTGTTCGAAGTAAAAGGGGGGGGTCCTGGTTTGGACCCTTGTTCTTTTAAAGGGTCCGGGTCCCTAACCCGTGAAGTTGAGGTCTCCTGAAAAGGTGAGAAACCCAAGCTGAATCACATGGAACCTGACCTTCGGCCAACCTGTGAGGGTTCCATGTGGGCATGATTTTTAATTAGGGCCCTTTGGTGGACATCATTTAGGTGAGGATTTATGTCCAACCACTTTTCAGGGGGTTTCCCATTAACATTCAGCGCCATGTAGAATCGGTGGCAGGATAGGTGTCCTTTTTAAGTGAGTTTGTCTAAAAATAGATGGGTTTCTCTGGTATAGGTGTTTTTTCCCCCCATTTACCAGGGCCATCTATTTTTTCAAAAGGCCACCTATGGGTGGGAGGACACCCTGAAAGTGTCACACAGCGGAACCGAACCGCCGGCCTTCCTGTGCCAGGTCCTCCTTGATGGCGTGGATTGCCTCGTGGAGGAGGGGTTGGGATCAATCGGCGGCCAATAGTGGGAACCCCATTCAGGCTGTGCGGGATTTGGTATGCCAAGGATGCGAGACACGGAGTGTCACATGAGTTGGAGCCATGGCGAGTTTGCTTTCCTTCAACAGCCGCCCCCATGTCCTTGGGGTTGTACGACTATGTTTTTGCTCGCGTCAAAGATCATTTCTGTTTGCGGTCAAGTGATGTTTTTTTGGGAGGGGGTAGAATTGGCTTTATGCCGCTGCCTAGGCTCCAAGCGAGGTATCAGCCAAAATTGATCGGACACTCCTGGTGCTTCAAGGACACTAGCGAAGGAGCCCATTCTTTTGGGCATTGTGCTTTTCAATGGCACTCAGGGGAATCTACTTTTTTTGGATTGTGCTACGGGCGACATCATTTGCTTAAGAAATTTTTTTATTTTCCCTTGCTGATCGATTTCACTACTGGATATTCTTTTTTCCAGGGGGCGAAAACGCAAATGGAATGTGACAAAGGAACCCATTTGTCCCCGGGTCAAAGGAAAACACCGCGCATTGCGTGACGCCAGGACATTGAGAACCTGGGCAACACCCAAGTGCTTCGACGGAGTTCAGTCAATTTTTCACTCTTGTGGCGTTTCAATTATTATTATCATTGTTATTGTTTTTAGATTCAGTGAAATATTATGGTAAGCAGTATATTCTGGATGTGCTTTTGTACAAGAGGCTCGGTGAACAATTTGTCAGTTTCTTGAGGTTTCCCATTTTGGATGAGCTTTTGTGGAAGGGTTCCGTGAACAATCCTGGTAGTCTATGGTCCGTTTGGGAGGGGCCGTTCTGGAAAGAGCTCTCAATATCCCACAGCCAGGGGAGTCAGTAAATTCCAATGTCCTCTGGCAGAAAGAAGTCATGTTGACCTGGCATAGCTGACGCTCCATCTTTTGTTGTGCCCAACACGTTGCAAGAAGCTGCACGGGGTCTTCTTGAAATGGGCCTTGCACATTTGGGTTCTTTAGCGACACATGATGTGTGGTTTTTCCAACTCCAAAGCAGGGATTTCTGTAGGGCACCACCTCTAAAGCGGTTGGTGGACAGGAAGTCCCGCCTAAATGATATCCACCAAGGGTCTCCAATTAAGAATCACACCCATTGTACCTGGTGGTTTACGATGTTGTTTATGTCAACAAGCAAGGCCTGTCTCTTTTTACTTAGAGCCTCTCTTTTGGCTTCAAAGCCCAGTTTGGTAGTCCCCCCCGCAAAGGGGGGGGACCAAAATGGATGGGTCGTCCCCTTCAAATTTGCCCAAAAAGACCCAATCACCGCGACTGGATTTCTCAAAGGTTGAGCTCAAGTAACTGGTGGGTTTGGCTCTTGGGTGTCCCTCTTTGAAAGGTCGGACATGCACAAGACCCTCCTGGACACTTTGTGTCCAGACTGGACATTGAGTTGGACCTTGCCCTTCCCTCAAAAAGGATTTGCGTGCTCAATCTGTTGGAACATTGTGAGGTAGTAAGGGTTTCTTGGGACCCCGGACACAACCCAAGCTTCCCTGCGTGTTGGGCGGGTGGACTACCATCCAACTTGTTTTGTTTTTGTGTTTTTTGTGCCTTCTATGGTAGTTCTCCCTGGTCCACGAACACGGAACTGACCAGGGCATCCCTTTTGACGGAAGGAGGTCTTCCCGGACGCCCTCTGAAGTTCCATGTGGATGGGTAGCTGCTTGTGTTGAAAGATCCCAGGCCCCCCCCTCCAAAACAAAAGAACAAGTAGGCTCAGGCGATATCCCCAACAGCATGGCGGTGCTCGTTTTAATGCTCGCACCCTCGCAGAACGTCGTGGAACCCTCGTGGAACCCGGTTTGGGCCGCCCCAGACCACCCCGGAGCCTATCTGGGCTGAGACCCCAAAGCTTTCAGCTGTTGGGGAAAAAAGAAGGAAAGAGAGGGACCCCCCTCACCTTTTGGTTCCCTTGGTATCTTCCACAGGATCTAGAAAACGGTTTGGATACGGCTTCAGTGCATCCACTCCTCTGGAAAGCAACACGTAATACAAGAGACCAAGAGGGGGAAGCAAAGTATTATACAACTTCAATCCTAAGATTTGATAACACAGAAGCAAAAGCAAGAAGAACATCTGCAGGGTTCTGACTTCGGGTGGGCATCCTTTTTCAGGGCACCCAATAAAAGGGGGACTGGTTACAAAGGCTCTTAGTGGCAAACCGCCCAGCTTCAGCGCGTTTTTTTGCATTTAGAGCCTCGCCCGGGATTTTTCCAACTTCCACCCCCCAAACCCGCCCCGCCGCCTCCGCCGCCCCACCGCCGCCTTCGCCAGGTGCTGCGATGCACTCCGGGGCCCACAGGCGCGCGGCCCAAGAACTGGCCGAAGCGGCTGGCCGCCGGGAGCTGGGCCGCGGCGCCTCGGACGGGAACGGGGACGACGGGAAAGGACGAAGCCACCGCTGGAAGCGGACGCGGCTTGTGGACCCGTGGTCGTTTTCGTTTTCTTTCCTTTTTTTTTTGGGTGGGAGAGGCGTTCTCTCTTTTTTTTCTTGGAGGGGGGGGGGGGCTTCTTCCCCTTTTTGGTGGGAGAGGGGTATTACACACGTGCCATGTTCAAGCCGCTGGAGGTCCTTGCCAGGGGGCCGCCAGATGAGCAAGTGAGATAGCTGGTTGGCCGATTTCCCGCAGGGTTGCATCGCGCCGCTTCAGCACAAGAAACGAGCCGTCAAGCATGAGTTCAATGCCGAACCCGGTGCTTCCTGGCTTTTGGGATCGGTTCAACGCCCCAAATCGCCTGGGTGCTTTCTGGGAAACAAGCCTCAAAGATGCGTATTTCTTGTTGTTTTTTGGCTTGGAAACACCATCCAAGGGTCGCTCCAGCCAAATTGGAGGAGTGGGGTAATTTGACCCCTGATTAATTCCCCCCCAAGGCCTCCCAGTAGTTATTAAACTGGGGGGTCCCTTTTTTTGTGGGGGGGACCCCCCGTTTTAATAGCTGGGGGGTTTATTAGTTCGGGGTTGACATTCTCCTGAAATTGGGACTCCCTTTGGAGAGAAGCCAGCAGAGCATCGGCCCAAAGAGCAGCCCCAAACATGGAGGGTGACAGAACACGTGAAGCCAACCGAACATCCGCACATGTTTTGCGGCCCTTTTTGGAGGCTGCTAGAAGATAATTTTTCACAAAACCTCGGCAATGTTGCCCATGGTGGAGTGAAAGACGACCAGCCAAACATCTCCTTTCCTTTTTTTTGGGGGCCGCGGGGGAGGAAGAGGGGGGGAGGTCCCCTTTTTAAAGGAACCAGTCTTGCTGCTACCTTCCCGTTGATGTGTTTGTGTGCGAAATCAGCCGGTGCCTTTTTTCTCGGTTGGACCCCCCGAAATGGATTCGTTTCGGTTTTCCGGTGGTTTTCCCGTTAAGACCCACAGACAAGGGGCACACGCAAAACAAGACACGCCCATGTGGCCATCAGTTTCAATAGGGATCCTCAAAAGTGAAGGACAAAAAAACCCGCCTACATGGTGCCCATCAACTGAAACTGGACACTCATAGGTGTTTCTCACCATAGGAATCATTTCCTTCAACTGGCAAGGGTTTCCTTTTCGCG